AAAGTCAGGCTACCTGATTAACAGGGTGAATTTTAATTTGTTTCTATACCCTCCCAAAAAAATTTTTAACGAAATTTGCATTTTAAAACAAAAGACTTCTAAATCAGGACAAGAAAATTCTCTTTCAGAATAAGGAGAAACCGGTTTGTCTACGTTTTGGAAGTTGATTAAGGATAAATTAGATGTAGTTCATAGATAAATATAAAATATATGCTTTATTCTTTTCTCACCTATTATGTATAATTAGAATTAATTTTACTTCATCATTCTCTTCTATGCTTTTTAAAAAGTAACCTCTAAAAAGCCATTTAACAAATTACTATTGTTTCTCTCTGATTGCAGTTGCAGTTGAACAATTTGAACAATCTTGGTTTGTAATTATTGTCAAATTATTCTAACATAAAATATTGGGTTGGTCAAAAAGTTCGTTCGGGTTTGTCTGTTACATCTTATGGAAAAACAAGAATGAACTTTTTGGCCAACCCATTATTTATGCCCAAACGTCTGCTGAAGGTTACCTATCCTTTAGATTTTCTGCATTTTTCAAGAGTACCTTTCCCATCCTCTTCTCACTCTAAAAGGAGCTTTCATCACCCAGCTGAATCCTGCCAGGTCTTCCTTCCTCCCTTTAGGGATTAGATGCGGCTTACTTTACCTCTGTTCTGGAAGTATGAAATAAGAGGATAGTTGCTGGTGGTATTAGCAGCCCTAGCAACTGAGAATTAACTAACATTATTTTTAATCTAAAAAGATGCTATAGGGGCTTCCCTGGTGGCGCAGTGGTTAAGAATCCGCCTGCCAATGCAGGGGACATGGGTTCAATCCCTGGTCCAGGAAGATCCCACATGCCACAGAGCAACTAAGCCCGTGCACCACAACTACTGAGCCCGAGCGCCACAACTACTGAACCCCACGCGCCTAGAGCCCGTGCTCCGCAACGAGAGGAGCCACTGCAACGAGAAGCCCGCGCACCACAATGAAGAGTAGCCCCCATTCACCGCAACTAGAGAAATCCCGTGCGCAGCTACGAAGACCCCAATGCAGCCAATAAAATAAAATGAAATAAAATAAAAAGATGCTATAAAGTTATGTCTTCAAACCTGAGGAAAATTTCTGCCAGGCCTACCAATTCAATGTATTACCCCCATAAGTGTCTTTGCTGTGTATCCTAGGTGAATTCTTTCTTTAATGGGACTCAAGTCCTATGAAGAAAGAAGGCATATGATGTTCCCTGTTGGAGCCCATCAAGTAGCAAGAGGTTGTGTGGTATAACCACGTAGGTTTGCATATCAGAAGTTACTAATCAGGTCATCTCACTTTCAATCCTGTGTGTTTCCATTCAATTCAACAAGTATTTATTGACTGTACAGAGGTGAGCAAGATAGTAATAGAGAGAGCCTCACATATAGATAGTAAGGGCAGGGAGCAGGCTGGCCGGGACAAGTAGGGGTAGAATTGGGAAAGGCTGTGAGTTCCTGGAGAACAGGGGCCAAGTCTGACCTTTTGTCTGACATTTATTCAATTTTTTCAAGGCATGATTTCAGCAGGCAGAGTTGACGGTGAAGGCCACTTGGCAGATGAAGTTTACACAGGTGGCAAGGATATTAAGAGACTTAGCAGGCAAGAGAACAGCAGTGTCCCATGGACCAGAATCCATACATATGGAGGACTAGTAAAACGCAGAGCTGGAAAGGTTACTCGGCATATTGTGAAGGGCCTTAGCAGAGGACTTTGGATTTAATTCAGTCAACAATGGAAAGCTAATGAAGAATTTTAATCAGAAACACTGTCATGATTAGAGCTGGAAGTGTTCTTCAGGAAGATTAATCTCACATTGAATGGGATGTATGATTATGGATGGTGATTAGGAAAGGCTGGCAGTTAACTAGTTCAGAGGTTATCACCTGGTAGTCCAGGTGAGAGGTACAAAGGCCTGGGAGCAAAGACAGCTGGCGCCACACCCTTTCCACACCTTTTTCCCTTTGGTGCTTACCATTCCCATCTTGCCTACCTGATGGCTTCCCACTGCAAGCACCCTCATCTCTTTGACTGGGGGCCTTCTCTAGCCATGGAAGCCTGCTGAGCCTCTGCTCAGGGCCGACCAGAGTGCCAGGGAGTTAACATCCTCCAGGAGCTGCCTTCAACCAGTGGCTGAAGCGAACTGGTGGGCAAATAACCCAGCTCCCTTGCCACTTGGTTGGGATAATTTTGAGCCTTGTTCTATAGTCTCCCAAAATGCCCCAAGGGGATTGAGTCCCAGTTGTCCACAGCCACAAACAGCTGGGTAACATTCTTTACTGGTTTCCTACTCTTTCTGACTCACACTCACTCACCACTCCCCTACTCCCCATTCCCCCTATCACCTTCTAAATGAACCACTTGCACTCACATCCTTGTCCCTGGGGCCTTCTGAGAGAATCTAACGAACCAGGGCCTTTACTAGAGTGGAAAGAAGGGCTCGCCTGTGTTTCCTGAAAAGATTCTGGGGAGGAAGAAGCTACAAGACTTGGAAGTTTATTGGCTGTGGGTTAAGGGAGAGGAAGAAGGCAGTGTCACCTACAGTTTTAACTAAGAAAATGTAGATGTCATTTATAGAAAAATGGGAAGTTAGGAGAAGCATTAGGAGTTTCCATGAAGAGGTAAAAGAGTTTACTTTGGGACATTGTGAGTTTGAAGTACTGACAGAACATTACTTATAGAACTTGGGAATTTGCATCTGGAGCCCAGGAAGAAGGAAGAGACTGGAGACTCAGGTTTAGTCGCTGCTTAGAGGTGGTTGATGAAGCTGTGAAGGTAGACCAGACCTCCAGGAATTGGGTATTGACCAGAGAATGAGCAGGTGCAGGCCTACAACAAAACTTATGGAAATGAATTCTCATATTTGGGGTTGTGGGGAGAATGACAGGAAATGGAAAGCCAGCAGCAGGATGAGAACAGGACGAAGCCATCACGGAAGCTAAGGGAGCGGCCAGCAGGCGGCAGATCGTGCCGGAGAGGCTCTAGATGCGCTGAGTTTCAGAGTTCTGGCAGCTTTGATCCACACCAGCATTATCAGTTCCCAACTTAATGTAATCCACTGGGAGAAAAACATTTAGGGAAAAATAAGCTCCTATGTCTGAGCGTACCAGATATTGATTTGCTTACTAAATACCTCATGGAACCCTAGTGCTTTACAAGAAGTAGTTTACTTATTACAAACATAAACTCCAAGCTCTGCTACTCTGTGACCTTTGGCAAATTACTCAACCTTGCCGAGCCTCAGTTTCCCCACTTGTAAATAAGGAACGAGGTGCTATTTCTGGTCCTTCCTGGAACTAAAATTCTCTGATCCTAATAATTTTCCATAGGCCATTTTTCTCATACCCTAACTCTGTGTGTATGTACATACATGTACACACATACTTCACTTGAAGCCTGCATAACAAGCGTATGTGTTGGTGATTGTTTATAAATAATACAGAAATTTAAAAACTATGCAGCGTGAATAAACTCACGTGTAGTAAAAATGCCAAGTAGGGATGATCTTTTTCACCGGAATTCTTGTGACAAATTCTGCAGTCACTATGAATGAGACTGGTAGTAGATATTATTCTGTTTAGATTTTACATTGAATTTGTGCCCCTCAAATGCATTTAATCACAAAGTATTTTTGGAAGTATCTCAGCTTCGTCACTTACTAGCTGTTCAGGAGTTTACAGGAGTTGCTTAACCTCTCTAAACTCAGTTTTCTATTAAAAACTCAGTTTCCTAAGTATAATAATAGGATCTTCCTCAGGGTTTTGTGGACACAAATTTAATCATTCAGTAAATGTTAGCCATTGTGAGTACCGTCAGGTTAACATTTGTCTTTTGGTGAGCTTTATATTTGCAGATCTCAGAAAGATGGTAGTAGGCAATAGGAGTGTTTTAGCCTTGAGTTTAGGTGGAGGCATCAGTGAAAATTGTAATTTCCTCAGACTACTCATTAGTAATTGAACGGTGGGTGGCACATAAACTTCCAATCATAGTTTACTGGAATATTACAATCAGGGTGGTACACATAACTTGTTTTGGTATTTTTACTAGAGTAATAAAAGGGTTATCAGATTTCTCTCTTTGTTATTAAATTGCTGGTTATTTTATCTCACATATACTTTATTCATATATACACTCTCACATACATTGTACAGACAGGATTGCCCTCTGCTCCCAGATCTCAAATAAAGCATCTGTGAAGCTTTTCTGCTGGAAACAGAGCCCTTATTAATGAAATTCACATGAAAACCATTTGTTTTAATGCATTATGTATTAAGACATAATCAGCTTTACATATTTTAACATTTTAAGTGTCTGTTTTCAGTGTAGCACAGCTGGGGTTATATGGAAATATTATTGAAAAAGAAAATATTTAATTAATAAAGCACACTGGATGTTGCTTTATCTAGAGTGAAGGCAGTGCCAGAAAATCACACTCCTTCATTGGTAGACAGCACTCAAGATAGAGAAAACAGCTCCCCAGTAAGAAAGGAGTCACAATTTAAATTTTTTGTGGTATTGTTGGAAAGCCTTTTTTGGTTGCTTGATTGTGTTTTTTAATAAGAATTACTTTGGCTTTGGCTTTGTCAGGCATAAGTTGTTGTTTTTTTCCTACAAAAAGGTGTGATTCTCCACTTTTTCTGCCTAAATTGACTCTGTTCTTGTTTAGTTAGAGACACATTTGAGTAGAGTACTGCATATCTGTTTAATTTGAGGTATTTGTATTGGTCTTGCCCCATTTTCGTCCAGGCTTTCTTGCATGATCAGAGTCTTTTGTTAGTGCCATCTCAAATAACACTGACCCTAAATGGCATATATGTGTACTGCAAGACAGGAAAATGATAAATTATCATGACTCATAGTATGTGCAAACAAAGGTCATTTTCTCGTATTTATGACTTCTTGCTCTTTTTTACAATTCTGCATTATACAAATGATGAACCTCCTGATTATAATTTTTGTGCTTTACCTGTCATTGCTTGCAGACGCCAAGGACTTACTGTTGTGCGAACACTGAAGACTTGGAGACGGTCATTCAGCATGTTCACAGTCTGTACCCTTCTGCTCCATTCCTGGCAGCAGGAGTTTCAATGGGAGGGTAAGGTTTTTCCTTTCTAAAATGTCCAAAAGGGAAGTGGTGCTAGCGAGTGCCTCTTTCAGACGACTGTAAGCTGCATGGGCATTTAAATGTTTGATTATTTTTATCATATTTCTCCACATGTGGCTGAATGGATGAAGGAATTAATTCAGGTAAATTTTAATATTTTCCTTGACTACTGGTCTCTGTGGTGAGAAGTATACAAGTACCTCCTCGAGGTGCTTGGGGTTTTGTGAGCCCGAAGGCTTGTCCGAACCCCATGGAGTTGATTTCTATCACTGGGTGGCAGCCACGTTGACCTTCAGATTCCCTGATGTATTCCCAGCCATCACTGCCACCGTGTTCTCCAGGACCATTCAGGAAGCTGAACTTGTACCATGACTTTCATCACTCCAGTTGTAGAAATAATTATTATTGCTCTCTCCAACTGAAGGGGCCTTCAAAACAGTTTTTCCCCAGGTGGTGTTTTTCTTGTTTGTTTTGTCTTGTTTAGTTTTGTTGCTGGGCAAATGGACCTTCCCTAGAATGCTCTCCTAGAAACTGTGAAATGCTGTTTGTAACCCCCTACTCCAGCTGCTTTTTTAAGCAAATGAATATTTTAATTGGTGCTGCTTGCATAGGGGCTTTTTTGGACCTTCTATGCCATGTATATATTTATATTTTATATTTATATACTTAGGCTAATTGTTTAATCTTTTTGTTGTAGTAACAGTGAGCTTAATACAATCCAAAATTTTTATTATATGGCATTTTGCTATGCTTAGATTACCTAAAGCATTGTCCAAAATCAACAAACACATGAGATAGAAAATGCTATATTTTTCTTAATTTTGTAATTGATTTATCTGTCATTTCAGTTTTTAGAACATTTTAGGAGCATGTTTACTTGAAAATGAACAGCTTTACAAATGATAGGCTCTAAAAAATCGGCTCTAACAACAGCTTTTTAGATTCTGATAAACATAAAACTAAGAAGAAAAGAATACGTTTCTTACATTAGCATGGAAGGTCTGACTTGACCTACTAAAGGAAGAAATCTGAATCACCGCAGAAAACCCAGGCAGAATCTGTGAATTGTGCTTAAAGGAAAGGATTTCACTTCTCTTTCCTTTGCCCCATAATGAGAACCTTAAAGGACAAGGTGCCCAGGTGAACTTTCTTCCTTTAATCATATAAATTCTTTACTTTTTAAAAAGCCAGACCTTACATAAACAGGCCCAGATTCTCTGTTCAGAGGTTCCTGGGAAATGCCTATTCTTGTCGAACTGAAGCCTCAGTGCGAACTTGACCGTTAGCCTCTGCAGCTTGTTGAATATTAATGTCTTGTAAATTGTTCAAAGGAAGTACCCCTTCTAGTTGCCTAGCACTGTGACATGTTCCCAAGTGGGTTTACCACTCGGGGATGTGTTTTACAGCTTGACACATTTTTCTTTTTGGAGATGTAGCAGACAGAAGCATCTGTCAAAGATCCTTATGCCCAGGTTGGGTAATCTCCAAGCCTGTGATGCCTGGGGCCAAGTAAGGGTTTTGAGACAGAACTAAGTCTAGCCAAGGAATCCACGCTGCTCTAGACTCAGTCGGATTCCAATCTCCCAATGAGTTGGTAAACTAGCTTCAAAAATGTATAGAAATTCCCAAATATATATAAAAGTAAGAAGAGTATAATGACGCCTCATATATACTCATCACCCAGCTTCAATGACTATCAACTCAAGGATAATCTTGTCAGTAGTACCACCCCCCCATTCCCTCTCAACTCTGATTATTTTAAAATAAATTTTAGACATCATTTATAAAGATTTCTGTAGGTATCTCTAACAGGTAGAGTCTCTTAAACAACAACAACAACCCATCACAATACTTGATTACATTTGAACAAAACTAACAATAAGGGGCTTCCCTGGTGGTGGTAGTGGTTGAGAGTCCGCCTGCCGATGCAGGGGACTCGGGTTCGTGCCCCGGTCCGGGAAGATCCCACATGCCGCGGAGCGGCTGGGCCCGTGAGCCATGGCCGCTGAGCCTGCGCGTCCGGAGCCTGTGCTCTGCAGCGTGAGAGGCCAAAACAGTGAGAGGCCCGTGTACCGCAAGAAAACAAGCAAACAAACAAAAAAACTAACAATAATTCCTAAATATCATCAAATATTCAGTCAGTATTTCATTTCCCCATCAGTCTGTTGGCTGGTTTTTACAGTTTGTTTGAGGCAGCAGACAGCTAAAGTCCACATACTGAGATTGATATGTCTCTTAAATCTCTTAATCCATGGGTTATCTTTTCTCTCTCTCTCGCTCTCTCTCTTTTTTTTTTTTTTTTTTTTTTTTGTGAAAATGGAGTCTTTTTCTTGCCAAAGTAAGACAGCTTTTTGGGGGGTAATGTCTTGACATTATTTTGCTCCTGAGTAATAACTAAGAAGCATCCCCACCTACTCGGTCATAGCTATTCCTGGTCCTTCCTACTCCTGAGGTTCACTTCCAACCCTTTCAATTTGCCTATTACATCAGACTCAAAAATCTCTGACCTCCAGCCAAAGAATAGGGCCACCAAAACTAGGACCCTAGAATGACCCTTTTGCAGGAGAGTAAGCATTATCTTCTAAATAGCTTAGTGAACCACAGTACTATAAACCAGGAATACAGTCATTAATGAAGAGTTGTTTTCAAGAACGAAATCTCCAGCCTGAGCTCTCAGCCCTGGATCAGGAAATCACTGAAGTAGTTTCTGACACTACGGAAATGCTGAAGCTGTTGGCCTTTGGCAGTCTGTCTAACCTACAGTCACTCAGCCTACAGTTGGGATGAATTTTAAAACACCACATGGAGCCATGTGAATCTTTCTGCTGTGCTGTCATATTTTCAGTAAACCTTGGACAACAGCAACAAAAACAACAACAACAAAAACCATGAAATCTCCATTTTTAATCTAAAATCTCATCACATTCACTCTGTAAATGGATTTTTTTCCATGTGGGTTGTATAAAAAGAATTAGAGAATTTTTACTCATTTGTCCTATTTCAGAACCTGGGCAATTGGAGAAATAAAGAATGGAAAATATGAGAAACAGAATTTAGGCTATCATCCTTTCTCTTAGTTGGCAATGTCAAACTTAGATTTCTGACATTACTGCAGGTTAAACTCCATTCTTGTCCCTCTTACCAAAATAGAACTAGAGTAGAATCAGGAAAATTGATAAAATGAAAGGAAAATATGTGATAGGAGATAAGGACAAATAGCAAGAGGGAGTAGGGAGAGAAAACAAGTGACTTTAGGGGCCAACTGCTCTGCCACAATTCAGAAAGTCTAACTCTAGACGAGGGAGCCCTTACAAACTTGCTGTAGGGTACAAGGATGCAAAGGCAACCGGAATGGCCACCCAGACCAATTACTCAGAATCTCTGAAGGTGAGACCCAGACGTCGATAATAGTTTTAAAAACTCCACAGGTGATTCCAACATGCAGCCACATTTGAAAACCACTCCTTCTGTGATCTTTCATCTATGCCAAGCCTTGGCAAACCACAGCCTGGAGGCCAAATCTGGCCAGCTGTCTGTTTTTGTACAGTGCAAGAGCTAAGAGTGGTTATTATATTTTTTTAATGGTTGGAAAAATCAAAACTATTTCATGACATGTGAAAAGTATATGAAATTTCAATATCCACATCTAATGTTTTATTGAAACATGGCCATATCCATTTATTCACGTATTGTCTATGGTTGCTTTCAAATTATAATCACAAGGTAGTTGCAACTGAGATTGTAGGGCCACCAAAGCCCAAAACATTTACTTTGTGATCCTCTATAGAAAAAGTTTGCCTGAAACACCCCCACGTATTAAATTAAACACTCAACTGGAGGCTGGGGCCCAGGGAATTGCAAATTTTTAATAAATCCCCAATATCATTTTGAAAACAACAAAAAGAAAAACCACTCTTACGGTGGCTTTTTCTTATGTTTTACTTCATAGAAAGGTACACATGTAAGTAATAACTGTATGCTTTGTCCCATTCTGAATATAGCTGACTGCAAGATAAATAAATAGGTGAATGTAAGGAAAGAATAGAGATACTTGCATGGTTTTCCAAGATAAAGGACTTGGACACTGGTTTATATTTTTCTTCTCCATAGTTAAAGTCCACAATTAGAAATGGGATGTCTTGAGAGAGACAACAAATTCATCACTTGAGTTTTCTGTCTTTTCTCATTTTAGAATGCTGCTTTTAAATTACCTTGGCAAAATGGGGCCAAAAACTCCTTTGAAGGCAGCTGCAACTTTTTCAGTTGGTTGGAATACTTTTGCTTGCTCGGAGTCATTGGAGAAACCACTGAACTGGCTGCTTTTTAATTACTACTTGACAACGTGCCTCCAGTCTTCCATTAATAAGTGAGTCATCTTTAACACCTGATGTCTGCAAACTCTTTGGATTACGTGCCACAGTAAAATGTTTTCAAGCATAACACTGCTAATATATGTATATTTATGTTTACATTATATGCATTTACTACTGCACCAAAATATTCTATTGTCAATATATACAAAAATAAAAAGATTTTAAGTATAAGCTAAAAATACAGATAAAAGCTCTGTTTTCTTTCTGTACCCCAGTGGATTACCTTGTACAACCTCTAGGCTCTGTGCCCCACTTGGAAGATCACCATTTCATCACTGTTCTAAATTATTCTAAAAGAATAAAAACATTAGTCTCAAATGTGTTGAATAACATTATGGGCTATTTCCCTGGATTTTCTACTTGTTGCTAATCTTATTAGTACCTAATTCTCCCCTAGGTAGTAAGTAATGTATTAAGTGTTTTTAGAGACGAATAATATGATTTCTAAGCATGTGTTATGAACATAGTATGTTTTAGTGGCTTAGGAGAATGCTTCTAAAACATGGATATTCTCAGCCCCTACAGTTCTTAACATTACCAAAATATTATCTTTGCATTAGTTTTTCTGAAATTGTTTAGGTATCTTCTAACAGTTAAACAGTGTGGCAACAAAGAACATGGGATGTTTCTGTTTATTTTTTGATAACTGTTACCATGCATTTTTAAGTGAATTGACAAATTTAAATATAAACTCTAACTAAAAAGTACAGTTAATTGCGCATAACTTAACTGAAAACCATAGTTACCCCGAAAGTTGACATTAGACACTGCATTAAACTTAACCTATTTTGGGGAGTTCTCTGGTGGCCTAGTGGTTAGGATTCTAGGCTTTCACTGCCATGGCCCAGGTTCAATCCCTGGTCGGGGAACTGAGATCCCGCAAGCCATGTGGCATGGCCAAAAATTAAAAAAAAAAAAAAAAGAAAGAACAATATACATTCCTTAATTAAAAAGTACTTTATTAAAAAAAAACTTAACCTATTTGTTACATTACAGATGTTGACTATAAAATACTGCTAAAAATACTACAGAATCGTATTTTTATTCATGGTCACTGAAATGGGGGACAGTAGCAAGAAAAAGGAAGAGAATGATTTGAATTAAAATATAGGTTATACAAGAAGAATAACCAACATTCAAAAATAAGTATACAACCTAGATGGGTGGGATGGGGGGCCGTGGGAGGGAGGTCCAAGAGGGAGAGGATATATGTATACATATAGCTGATTCACCTCGGTGTACAGCAGAAACTAACATTGTAAAGCAATTATACTCCAATAAAAAAAATTTTTTTTAAGTATACAAAAATATAAATTCTAATTTTCAATATAGCAATTTAAAAAATAAGATAAATCTTCAGTTGATTTACCCAGTTGAAAGCTTCTGGCTTAAGTGAGGCCTTTTTGGCCAAATTGGCTTAATAGCATTGGTGTGTAGGTGCAATTTGTTATGAAACAACACTTTCATTTATTATTGTTATTTTGTTTATTATTACTGGTTCCTTCTTCCTCAATTAAGAAAAAGTACTTTTAGAAAATGTCTTCATGTACTTCAAATACTGTATGATATCACTTATGTGTAGAATCTAAAAATTACAACAAACTAGTGAATAGAACAAAAAAGAAGCAGACTCACAGAGAACAAACTAGTGGTTACCAGCGGGGAGAAGGAAGTGGGGGAGGGGCAATATAGAGGTAGGGGATTTTTAAAAAGGGGATATAATATAATAAAATCATGTATGTGAAACTTTTGAAAATTGTAAAGCACTATAGAATTTAAAGAATCATTCAATAAAAAAAATAAACTTTACAAAAAGTCTTCAGGACAAATATCAATGTATTCCTGCCATGTCTAATTAAGTAAATATTTATTGAGTAACAACTTTATTCCCTGTTCTAAGTTACTTATAATTATGTATTTTAGGTATGTTTGAGATGGGAATGACCTTAATTTTTTACTTTTGAAATTCTTTTTTTCCAGGCACCGGCATATGTTTGTAAAACAAATTGACATGGATCATGTCATGAAGGTAGGAAGGAAACTTTACATAATACATTTATTTCCTTTTTTGATTCCAAGAATAAATATAATAGGTTTTTGTTTTTCAGGCTAAATCCATAAGAGAATTTGATAAGCGATTCACTTCAGTCATGTTTGGCTACCGAACAATTGACGATTATTATACTGATGCCAGTCCAAATCGTAGACTGAAATCAGTAGGGATTCCAGTGTTGTGTCTGAATTCTGTGGATGATGTTTTTTCACCCAGTCATGGTAAACTTAACATCTTTGTATACATTTTGACATGAATTAACTGTTTTAAAATATTTTAGGAAGGGCTTCCCTGGTGGCGCAGTGGTTGAGAGTCCGCCTGCCGATGCAGGGGACACGGGTTTGTGCCCCGGTCCGGGAAGATCCCACATGCCGCGGAGCGGCTGGGCCCGTGAGCCATGGCCGCTGAGCCTGCGCGTCCGGAGCCTGTGCCCCGCGACGGGAGAGGCCACAGCAGTGAGAGGCCCGCGTACCGCAAACAAAAACCAAAAACCAAAAAAAAAAATATATATATATATATATATATTTTTTTTTTTTAGGAAAATACAGTAATAAGAAACGTCAGTCATATAATGTTTTCTACTGTGATAAACAGAAAAAAACCCCTTGATACTCATAATTTAGTATCTAAATGTCTCAGATCACTTTAAACGTCTTCATAGACCCTTATCTAGTCTACTGTGAGAGCCTCAGAACAAATTATGACTCAATATTTTGTTTGTTCTCATTTTTACAACTTTTCCTTCTTATAAAATAACTGTTCTTTGGACAGACTATGTTTACAGTATCTTTGCCTCAAGAGTACATTGTCGGGCTTCCCTGGTGGCGCAGTGGTTGAGAGTCTGCCTGCCAATGCAGGGGACACGGGTTCGTGCCCCGGTCCGGGAAGATCCCACATGCTGCGGAGCGGCTGGGCCCGTGAGCCATGGCCGCTAGGCCTGCGCATCCGGAGCCTGTGCTCCACAATGGGAGAGGCCAAAAAAGTGAGAGGCCCCCGTACCAAAAAAAAAAAAAAAAAAAAAAGAGTACATTGTCATCACTTGCCTTTTCTTCCTGAGGGTTTTTTTTTTTTAAGAGTAACTTCTACTGTTTTTATTTTTATTTATTTATTTTTGGCCATGCAGCTTGCGGGATCTTAGTTCCCTGACCAGGGATTGAACCCATGTCCCTTAGGAGGGGGGAAGCACGGAGTCTTAACCACTGGACTGCCAGGGAAGTCCCTTATTCCTGAGGTTCTTATACAGAAGGCTTTGGAGTTTTTTCCCCCTTTTAACCTAGAAGAGAGCTTGAGACTTTATTAATATGATGTCCTTGGATAACTCAATGAATGTAGCACATTCGGACTATAAGGTCATATTTGAAGGGAAAGTGTCTGTTTTCCCCCGGATACTATATAAAAGAAAATTATGCCCAAATTAACTTCCTTGTTCTCCTAATTCAAGAAATACGGAATTTTGTAACAAAGATCTATGTGGATGTGTTCATACATTAAAGCAATATAAGACGCCTAGAAGTGATCATACTGTCTTAAGGATAAGTAGACTTGACCTCTAATTTTTTTCTAATGAAATTTCATAAAGCTTTTTATAAAACTTTTTTCCTTATTTCTCCCTTAAATACTTTTAAAACATTTTCCCCAAGTACTTCATTTTAAAAAATTATTTTGAGTACAAACACAGCACGTACGTATTGCCAAAATTTCAGAAAATCCCCAAAGTATGTTTTAAAAAAGTCACTTACCGTCTCTTTAGGGGATATCATTTTAATGTGTGATTTATGATTAAATCACAGGTAATTTTAGATGACTGGAACTTTTGGTCTTTGACCACAAATCAAAAAATTAAACTGTGAACTTTTTTTTTTTTTTTTTGGCCTCTGCGTGCAGCCTTGTGGGATTTTAGTTCCCCCACCAGGGATTGAACCCGGGCCCTCAGCAGTGAGAGCACGGAGTCCTAACCACTGGACAGCCAGGGAATTCCCTTAACTGTGAACTTTAATAATCAGTCGAATTACATGGAGATTGTTTAGCCTATTTTCATTGGATTAAGGAAGTTCAGTATTTCTCTATTTTTATATTTCATGGACCCTTCTTCCACCAACAAAAATTTCCCAGCATTTAACTTGTCTTGACCCACTTGGTTGAAGTTTAAGCTCACTATTTCTTATTCTTTCCCAGCCCTTAAAATCATCTTGCCACATTAAAGTAGTAGACAGTTGTCTGCATTCTGAGAGCACAGGCAGCCAGCATCTTTCACATGACTCGAATGGCCCAGCCTTTCGTTCTTCTGATATGACTGTAAACTATCAGTGTGTTAGAAATTCCTGACTGTATCCAGAGTGTGAAATTGGGGCTCTTAATAATTCCATTAGAGACAAATGAAGCACTCATAATCTAAGCCCTTAGTGTAAGGTGAAAAAGGAAAAACATAAATAGTATCAGTCATTTCACCTGCCCCTTAAGTTCTAACACCTGATCCCAAGATAGATGTTCTGTTTTAGGTGTAGCTAGATAAGGATGTGAGTTCAGGACCCATTTAGGACAAGGACTTGACTTCCTAGGCCTTGATTTAGGTTCTCTAGGTTTATTCTTCAAGGAATGGAGTGAGAGGTCCAATTTATTTTTCTTTTTGCTGTGCCCTGCAGCTTGTGGGATCTTAGTTTCCCAGCCCTCGGCAGTGAAAGCACGGAGTCCTAACCACTGGATGGCCAGGGAATTCCCTGAGAGGTCCAATTTAGATCATCTAAACATGCAGTTTGGGGCCCTCAGCAGCTCTATCTTCAAAGGGTCTCAGTTGTCCTATAGTGTGTCAGCTTCCTTTCCTTCATTGGAAGGGTAGGGAGATCTTACCTTTAATGAACTCATTTACCCCTAAGACTCTACCCAAGATACGAAGGTCTAATTACTGGATCAACCATGTTATCTTAATTAGGGATTAGGGATGTAAGATTTAGCAGTATCTGAAATCAAAACACTTCTCATGCCAGGTCGTGATCCATTATAGATCTTAAATCAAAAGGTTTCACTGTTTGAACTCTAAGCCTGAGGGGAAAATAAAAATAAAACAACTTTAACTCATGTCCTTTAAAGTTTTTACTCAGCATAATTTTGTAGAGCATTTGAAGAGACTGTCCTTATTGGAGGATTATTTAAATACAGCAATTATATTTTCAAAATAAAGTTTTTTTCTCCTGCCTATAAACAGAAATTCAGAGAAGGAAAAAAATAAATAAAATAAAATAATCACCAGTGTTTTACCACCCAAAGATAAACACTGTTACCACTTGAGAGTATTATATGCCATTCTTTTTTGCTATCTATATGTTTTTAAAAATCATATGTATAATTTTGTATCCTTAACAGCCACCAATTGGCCTCAGGAATCTAACTTCATGTAAAGTTAACCAAAGTCATACATAATGAATGTATAACTCTCACAAAGGTGATAAGATTAGTTTGGGTTTTTTTCTTGGTGTAGCACCTAAGTGGAAATCTTATAACATAATGTAAGTATTCACCATTTCTTGAATTATTTAATTTCTCAAAACAAGACTGGGCCTATACTTTTGTGTTGTGATTGATTACTCGATTGATTCTTCCAAAATTGCTGGTCCAGTATATAACTGTGAACATGAACTGTTATAAGAATATAGGTGGTTGATACAAATTAGTCAGACTTATTCCATTAGCCATACTCATTATGAATATTTATTTGTTTAATGATGTTTTGATTTATAATGATTGGAAATGATAAAGGCACATACTTTTCCTAACAAAAACTGTTAATAATTATATATTTTTCTCTCTCCTTCCCTTCTCTTATCCTCCCCCCGCCTATTTTTTGTCAAGCTATTCCAATAGAAACTGCTAAGCAAAACCCTAATGTTGCTTTGGTCCTTACTTCTTATGGAGGCCATATTGGTTTTCTGGAGGGAATCTGGCCAAGACAGTCCACTTACATGGATCGAGTCTTCAAGCAGTTTGTGCAGGCCATGGTTGAACACGGACATGAACTCTCTGGCATGTAGTTCTTCAGGTGCATTTTGTCTAAACCACCGTATAAAGGCAGCTCAGCTTACTGCACAAATCTTAATTACTGTATATAAAGCAAATTAGCCAGCAGGTGGTGAAGAGGTCCAGAATGACATGCAAAAACTACTTTTTGGAGTAACAAAACAACTTTGTAGCAAGAAATAAAATATAGATTTAGACTGTAACTTATGTAGATTTTATTTTTACTATGCCTTACCAAGTATGACCTTAAATAAAGTAGTACAAACATGGAATTGCACTTAACCAAAACTATTGTGTAAAAAGATTTTAATTCCTCAGGGTTTTAATTTGGGCTAGTATTATTTTAGATAATTTATTTTAGGTGATTTATGGTACTTTAATAATTGTAATAGGACTTGACTTTATTTATTTGAATGTAAGTTATAAGTTGGCACATTCATAAGGGTATTTATACCTAATGATGGTAACATGAAAACTGAAATAAGATAAAATACAATGTGCTAAATCTTTTACGTATTTTAACTTTAAAAGGCAAATGCAACAAATGTTAGACTTCTATACATGTTCTTTTACTCTAATAATATTAAATTAAGGCTGACTTATGTTTTATAATGATTATAGTTCACATGCTTATTTTTTAAATAGTGTATGTGCATACTTATATATCATTATATTAAATTCTACCATTTTAAATTGTTTCTTTGTGAGATTTTATCCACAAAAAAGTAATCCCTAGAGTAATTTGTGATTTCATAAATGCATTAGTAAGAAATATTACAACTGTATTGTTTCAGTTTCCAGAATATTGGGCTCCCACCGTTCGTACCAATTAAAAATACTTTCAGCTACAGGAAACCCATCTAACAGTGATTTAGGAATAACAATATTTAATTATCTTGCATCACAAGAAGTCTCCATGTAAGCAGTCTCCAGATGTAGGTGTTTGTCATTTATCAGTGTCATCAAAGATGCAGGCTCTTTCTGTTGCCACATCCCTAGCAGGCAGGGTAGCCAGTTATCTCCTAGACACAGGATGGCTGCTGCAGCTCAGACATCACATTTGTATTCAGAGAAGAAAAAGGCAGAAGGAGTGGGGCCAGACACATCTGCCCTTTTGGGAAAGTGAAAGCTTTCTCAGAAGACTTGCACTTATATCTATTGGCCAGACCTGTGTCACATTGTCACCCTGGTTGACTGGGAGGCTGGCAAATCAAGTGTGTAGACTTTTCCAATTGTAGTGGAGGCAAGCAAGGGGGAGGGGATTGGTAGTGGTTGATGGGCTATCCAGGCAATAGTGTTATCTTCTATACCATTCAACATCTTTTTTTTTTAAATTTTTATTATTTATTTATTTACTTTTTTATTTATGGCTGTGTTGGGTCTTCATTGCTGTGCGGGCTTTCTCTAGTTACAGTGAGCGGGGGCTACTCTTCATTGCGGTGCACGGGCTTCTCATTGCGGTGGCTTCTCTTGTTGCAGAGCATGGGCTATAGGCGCCAGGGCTTCAGTAGTTGTGCCTCGCGGGCTCTAGAGAGCAGGCTCAGTAGTTGTAGCGCACGGGCTTAGCTGCTCCGCGGCATGTGGGATCTTCCCAGACCGGGGCTCAAACCCATGTCCCCTAAATTGGCAGGCAGATTCTTAACCCCTGCACCACCAGGGAAGTCCCTCGCCATCTTTTCCCTCCTTTTTTTTTTTTACTACTTCCACGACTTATAAAATATGTATATTTTTGCCCAGGTATCACATTAAGAGAACCATGTAATAAAAGCATATTAACACAAAATTGTTTACTAAAAATGCCATCTTTTGGAGAGTTCCTGATTGTGTACTTGTAGACTCCCACGTAACTGTGTCTAGAACAATAGCACTGATAATGCCAGTGATTTTTTGCCCGTTCAGCATATATTCTGATTCAATAGTGATAATAACTTTCAGTTGGCATGGTTTGGGTGGGGCTGATCCTGCCTTTCAGAGTTATCGTGAAGATTTTAAACAAATTATGTCAGGAAGTCTGTCTACCCATTGGCCATTGTCAGATTTGGGTAGGTAGCCCCTGACCTCCCTCTACACACAAAAATTATTTCCAGCTAGATTAATCAGATAAGCACTTTTTAAATTCATAAAAGTACTAATGAAAATATGGGAAGTTATTTTCATAATTTTAGAATGGAGAAGTCCTTCTTAAGCAAAATATAAAAATGAGAAGCCGTAAAGAACAAAAGTGACAGATATATTCATGTAAAGATTAAAAAAGAACTTCAGTTCTACAAAATTACCATAACCAACATTAAAATACAAATGACAGAAAAAATATTGATATTTGCAATATACAAAAGGCTAATATATCAAATAGCTAAAGAACCCCTAAAAATTGGTAATGAAATATCTGATAAAAAAATGGTCAAAGGATATACAAGAGACTCATAGAATAATAGCAAGTTTATAAAAAGGTGAACAATTTCACTAGTAATTTAGGAAATGCAAAATTTGAAAACAAAGATATTTGTGACCATCAAATTGTGAGTTTAATAACATACAGGATTAGTAATATACAATGTTGGTGATACTATGGGGAAATAGTTACTCAAATTGTTGGTGAGTATGTAAACTAGCAATTATTTTTTGGAAGGCAAAAAATTTTGACAGTTAAAATACAAGAGCAACCATATTTAGCAATTCCATTTTGAAGAATCTATCCTATAGAAAATCTAGCAAGGGTGTGTAAAGATATAGGTTTGTTGCAGCTTTGGACATTCAGGATGACAACTTATTTAGTAGGGGAATGGATAAATTATGACACATTCACATGATAGAGCCACCAAAAATAATGATGTAGCTCTTTATGTACTGATTTATAAAGATATTTCTGATAGGTAATTTAATGAAAAACAATTTATTCATATATATAGGATCTCATTAGTATAAACAAAAATAAAATATAGCTCTACATGCATGCGATAGTGTGTGTGTTAGTTACAATGAAATGAGCATTTTCATGTGTTGATGTGGAGGGTAAACTATTCTTCCCAGCAGTTCCTCCACACACTAATAAGCTCTGAGAAAGAAGGGCTGTGTTTTAATTATTTCTACATCCCAAGCACTTAGCATATTGTCCGGAACAAAGCAGGTCCTTAGTCAAGATTAGCTGAATAATAGTGGTTTGTATAAGAATGAAAATACTACCTTGCAAGCCGGTTCCCTGATTTGAAAAGTTAATTTTAAGTATATCCTGGAATTTTTTCTAAAACTGTCTCCTCAGTTTCTCTAGGTTATTATCATTAAACATTTATTCAAAGCCTCACAGAGCATTGTTTTCGAAATAGGGATACAAATGGATACAACAGCTTTCTTTTCCTTCTTTCCTTTTTGACAATGCCCTATACATTTTTTTATATCTTGAACCTAGTGCAAACACATACGTTTTGTTACAGACCCTACCCAGTCGGTCCCTTTTGAGCCAACAGCAGAAATAGGGACACAAATGGAGAGAACAAACATATGGCCACCAAGGGGGGAAAGCGGCGGGGGAGGGGGGGTGAATTGGGAGATTGGGATTGATATGTATACACTAATATGTATAAAACAGACAACTAATAAGAACCTGCTGTATAAAAAATAAAATAAAATTCAAAAATTAAAAAAACAAAGACCGAGTTTGGTTCAGTTGGCTTCAGGAGCAAAGAAAAGTTTTAGTCTTTGATCAAAGAACCGAGAGACACAGGCTACCACCCTAGAGCACCCACTCTCCCCCATACCCGTCGGCCGGGCTGCTTTGTAGGTATCTGGTCAGCGGGGAGGGGGTGGAGTTCTCCTGGGGCCAGCGCAGCTGTGCTGCTCACGCTCCAGATTGCAGTGCCGGGCGCAGCACCCCTGCACACGGCCGGCCACCGCCGTCTTGGATTGCGGTGCGCACGCAGCACCTCTGCACGTAGCCTGCTGAGGTGAGGAATCGGCACAACCACTTCGCAGGAGGAACCCTGTTCTGAAGGGCTGGGTGCAGAGGCCTCTAGAGGCGAGGCCTCTGCACCCAGCAAGTGAAACTAAGTGCAAAGGAAAAGAAACAAAAAAAGGTTAGACTTTATTACCCAGCTTCTACTTTTATTTCCAGGGCATTGTTAATGGACTCTGCTGCTGAGTTTTATAGAACCGTCTTTACTCTTAACTCTGCGCAGTATTCGTAGTGCAATATACTCTCATATTTTGTAGCCCATCCTGTTCTAGTCTGGTCTAGTTTAATTTTCAACTATCCCATTTTCCTTTTTTATATTTATTTATTTATTTTAAAATAAATTTATTTATTTATTTTTGGCTGCGTTGGGTTGCTGCATGTGGGCTTTCTCTAGTGGCTGTGAGCAAGGGCTACTCTTCAGTGGTGGCTTCCCTTGGTGCCGAGCACGGGCTCTAGGCGCACGGGCTTCAGTAGTTGCCTCACGCGGGCTTAGTTGCTCCGCAGCATGTGGGATCTTCCCGGACCAGGGCTCGAACTCGTGTTCCCTGAACTGGCAGGCGGATTCTTAACCACTGTGCCACCAGGGAAGCCCCCCATTTTTCTTTTTTAAATGAAAGTGGGAAAATGAAAAATTCTCGTTAATTCTTAAATCTGGGCCATGGGTATATGAGACTCATTGCATTATTCTACTTTTGTGCATCAAATTTTCTTACTACTTTTTAAAAATTAAATGCGCACCTTTGAGACCCACTAATGGGTTGCAACGTAGTTCGAAAAACACTTGAATTCTAGAAGTTATTAGAAGTTAAAAGAAAGAAGTCACTATTGTCTGTGGCAGTTGTCACACTTAGTTGTAATAGCTTCTTTACTTACCCGCTTTCCCCCAGCAGACTGTGAGCACAGTGAGGACAGGAAACATATTTTCTTTGCTCTTCATCTTATCCCCTGGGGCCAGCATGGTGTCTGCCTCGTATTAGGTTTATTATTCATTAATGATACCAAATACTTAATAATACTTGAACCTTAGGCCCTGATGGAAGGGTACATCTTACATACAAATCAGAAGTGGGGAGAGGAAGGGTTTTTGCAGTCTCACTCCAAATCAGAACATCCGTTAAAGCAGCATCTGTTTCCCCTGCAGACTTCAGTGTCAAATGAAGTAATGGTAATTAAAAAAAAAAATCTCACTGTTGCTCTGAACCTAACAAAATGCTGGACACAAGGTAAACACTCAGCTTCTTAGAACTTAATTTGGAGTCAATGAGGACAATATGCAAGGTCAGGTAATAAAGAACACTTAGGAAATACGCCATTTTAACTCTAGTTCTCACTTAAAAGACAGTCTTTTTGTCCTAACCTTTTCTACAAACAGGCCAACATGTAGAAGCTGGTATTTCTTGTCCTATGATATAATGTTGCTGTCAGTATTGATACCTAATGCAATAAAAATTGCAGTATATAATTGATTTTGTTTTTCTTTTAAAATTTATTTCTAAGCAAAGAGATATTTATATATTCAAGGCCTTGTGATGATAAAAAATGATGTCTTTGCTTTTGTCATATGCACTTTCAAGCTGTGAATTATTCACCTGTGCTATTTATCCCTATTCTGAAACTAAGAGATACTTTTTCTGGCTCTAGCCTTCAACCACCTAAATGTGGGAATTACTTTGAAAAAAGTAAATGGCAAGAATCTGACAAGATTAATTTACCTCACTGAATATCTCTTTTAAATAAAGATAATAACCTGGATCAAATCATAAAGACTTCACGTCATTTAACACCATGACTCAGTATTAACTTATTACAGGACAACTGTATGTTTGTGCCTTCTATAAAGGGTTGTCTTCCCCCGGAGTTAGATACTGGTACCCAAATTTTGCAAGCAGTACAATAATCATATCTACTCCATCTGTATTTCCAGTTTGCTGTTAATTATATTACCAAGGACTCAGTACCAGCTGGATATGAATAGACAGGCTGTCAGCATATTAA